CAGCTCAGCTGTGCCCATGTCCCCAAGCTGGGACAGGACATTCTGCACCTCAGCAGCTGCTCAGAGCACCCCAGAGCACCAGCACTCCCCATCCCTGGTGCTCCAGGAGAGCTCTGGAACAGGAGATGCTCACACAGAGCCTCCAGCCTCTCCCCTGGCTCTCAGATTTTCCTCCCCTGAGGACAAAGCACCATTCTCATGGAGCTGGCAGCCCAGCACAGCCCTCAGCAGAAATGATTAATGGGTTCCTGCAAAGGGAGGCTGCAACCCCCCCGTGGTGATTTCCCCTGCTTGCACCTAGGGCTTGCCTATTGATTAATTGCCATGTTGGCCTGGCTTTTAATTATTTTGTAATGGCTTGGGCAGAGAGGCTAATTATGTGGGAAACTGAGGGCAGAATTCCACCAGGAGCAATAATTGGGTCTGTGTGGGCATTGCTGAGATCTCCATCAAGCACAGCCCTGTGTCAGGACTCCAGGTCCATGCCCTGAATGGAAAATTGCTCTGCTCAGCAGTGAGCACTGGTGGGGGGAACCCTGAATCACCCCAAATCCCCCTGGACCAACCCCAAACCCCCAAAATCCTCCTCCTCCTCGTGGCCCTCGGGTTCCACACTCACTGACCCCAAATCCCCTGAAATGACCCTAAAACACCCAAATCTCCCTGACCTGACCCTAAATCCCCCAAATTCACCCCACATCCGCCCGCAGCATCATAGGGAGAGAGCTCTGTACAAAATCTAAACAAACACAGCCTGGACCGTGGTTTTCCATGCTGGAAACAGAGCAGGGAAGCAATAGGAGGTTCCATGAGAACCTGCAGCAGCCTTTAGCTCTGTCAGTGCAAATAAATCACTCTGATGAGGCTGCAGCACCAAATCCTTGCCAGAGGCTCCCACAGCACATTCCCAGGGCTGAAGGCAAGCAGGATGCTGCTCACCTGCCTCTGGTCTGTGCTTCCCTGAGGACACAGGCACGTTGGAGCACTCAAAGTACTCCAGGTCATCTTCTGCCTCTGCCTTCTTCTCCAGCCCCGCTGGTTTCTGCACGGAGGTGGTGGAGGCCAACTTCTCCTCATCAGTGGCACGGCCATCCCGGTTTGTAATGTCTGGGAGCTCTGAGATCAACACTCCTTCATCCTGCACGACCAAAACACGCAGTTAGGCACGATCTGCAGGGGTCAGGCCACCAGGTGAGCTGCTGATACTGCACAGAAAGCATGGAAATCTTAAAATCCACAGGTGAGCTGCTCCTGCCTCCCTTCCTGTAGGAGTGTTGGGGGTAGGACGGTGGGGATGGAGGGAGATGAGAGATCTTTGCAGCCAGATGGTGGAATTTGGGGTTTATTGCAAAGGGCCAAGTGCAGGCCTTGTTTGGAGCTGCCAGCCACAGCTCAGAGCAGGCCCCAAAGAGGGAGAGAGAGGTAAAGAGAGAAGGCAAGAGCGTGGTAAAGAGAGAATGAGAGAGTAAAAGAGAGGATCAGAGGGCAAAGTTCCTGTTACAATACAATAAATCTTCTTCTGGTCATGGAATTTGGGGTTTATTGCAAAGGGCCAAGTGCAGGGCCCTGCTGGGAGCTGCAGCCACAGCTCAGAGCAGGCCCGAGAGAAGAGAGGGGTAAAGAGAGTGTAAAGAGAAAGAAGGCAAAAGCATGGTAAAGAGGATGAGAGAGGATGAGAGGGTAAGAGAGTAAAAGGGTAAGAAAGCGAGGTTCCCATTCCAACACAATAAATCTTCTGTGCTGAATATTCTGATTCTCACCAACCAATCCAGTACAAGATACAAATGCTACAGCATTTACATACAGCCTGTAAGAACCGTTACATTACCACACTGTGTTACATTTTAAAACCTAAAAACTCCTCTTTGGGCTCTTCTGCCAAGCCAGCAGGGTCTGCTCTGCTCCTTGGAGCTGTCTGCAAGCAGAGGGTGTTGTTCCATCAAAAGGGGATCACCTTCAGCCAGCCACACCATTGTTTTCCAGTTGTTCAGTAACTGAG